GCGCAGGAGAGGAAGACCCTTGATGAGGTGGATCGATTCTGTGAGTGGAGTGGTGGGAATGAATGTGTTTGAGAAAGTGAGGTTGGCGCAGGTTAGGGCTCTTATACATAAGGGTCACTATGAGTCGCAAACGACTCAATGGCACATAACAACAACAACAACAAGTGATAGAAAGTCCGTGCTCTCACATTATACCACAAACTCTTCAGTTGACTCGAATACATAAATCTTTTTCCTTTTTTGCTTTTCTCCCAGTTTAGTCTAAGTTCTTACACTGTACTTGGCCCACTAACCTTTTTTTAAGAGTCTTGCTGAAACTCCTGGAGTTACACCGGATAAAACTTACGTGTATTGTTCTGGGGAGAAGTTTCCAGTTTTCATCAGTTTCTAAGAGGAGTCTTGAACTACAAAAAGATAAAAAATAGGATCCTTTTCATGTTTCTTAAGAAAATATTTAAAGCCTGTTGATTTCCAGGCTATAACTGTGTGCCAGTCTAATCACTCCTTATCTCTTAATCCTGTTTAAGTTTCTTGTGCTCTAAGGGTAATAATGTGAAAGGGAGACTATGTTAAGAGTTGAAACTCATTGTCATCAAATAGAAACCGTACCAAATCTGTCCCTCTATCAATTTTCTCAGACTGTAAGTTGCATGGGAGGATATTCTCCATCCTTCTCCCTCGGAACCTCTGGTGGATTTGTTCCTCTAGCGAGGTGTTGAGTATGGGTTAGTAGCACAGCTCCCTACAGACCCCCCCTCCCAAGAGGTTTCTTTGTATTAAAAATGAGATAGAATTTGAGGAAATATTATCTTCCTTCTTCCCTAAAGGATAGAGTTCCTTCCAACAGTTGTTGAGAAACATCTATAGTCTGATGAGTAGATTTGGTTAGATACTACCAGACAGATTAATTCCCTTTTTGGGGGGTAAATTTTTAATAATTAATTACCATTGATCTATGATTAATTCCTTTTTTAAAATAACGCCTCGGTCACCAGTTAGTTCGAAGTAAATGTATTTTTCCTAATTTAGCTCCTTTTTTTTGTTTTTAAAAATTTTATTATTTTTGTGTGCATGTACCGTCAAATCAGATCTGACTGGTACAGGAGGAGATTGTCCCTTCTTCCCCGGCAGAGCATCTGGTGGATTTGAACCGTTTGGCTCTGGGATTGTAGTTGCAGCTCCTTGCCACTAGGCCACCAGAGCTCCCTTCCTTTTTTCCTTGTGCATATAATTACTGATAAAATATTTAAATTATGTAAAATTTTTCACTTTGCTCGTATCTACTGTATGACTTGAGAAGTACTATTCTTCTTGGATTACTTGACAGTATTCTTTGTTTTTTGAATTTTTTAAAAATGTTTTTTAATTATTGTGTGTGTGTGTGTGTGTGTGTGTGTATGTGTGTGTGTGTGTGTGTGTACAGTCAAATCGGATCTGATTGATACAGGAGGAGATTGCCCCTCCTTCTCCAGCAGAACATCTCGTGGATTCGAACTGTGTACCTCTGGGATTGCAGTGCAGCTTCTTACCACTAGACCACAACAGTACCCTTTGTAAAGAAGGAAACCAATGTGAAAGTGGAGAAGTTGGCAGAAGAGAAATCTGACAAGAGAAGCCTAAAATGCTAGTTTGCTTTTTTTTTTTTCCTCTGTTAGAGAATGTACTGACAAGGCATATTTTGCCCTGTTAGTCATTCTTCTGTATATCAGTGCTTCATTCAACAATTCAGTGCTTAAGTAGGAAAATCCAGAAACTGATGACAAGTGACTTAGATAATATGAGAGAGATTGGTGTGAGGTTTTTTATCCCCCTCTCAGAGGAAACTGAGATAACTTGGAAAATTTGTTGGCTTAGGACATCATACTTGGAGGGTCTGACATGATCTTGTTTATTGTATGTTGAATCCCAATTCTCTTTTTTTTTTTTTTTCACTTCCAGATATCCGTGACACTGTGAAGTATAAAGAAGTCATGAAACAGTATCCTTTTCCATATTTACTTTGATGTTAGCTCATCCTGACTTGTTGCTGTCTGTATTTCATTGTTTTGAATGAAAAATTTTGCCCTTGCAAAATGGAAACACCCCTTGATTGCTTGATAGTACTTTCATTGGGAGGACTGAGTATTGTGAGTGCAAAATGGAAACACCCCTTGATTGCTTGATAGTACTTTCATTGGGAGGACTGAGTATTGTGAGTGATCAGATCTATTGTTTAGTTTGCAGCTTCTATTTTCTTACTATCCTTTCAGACTATAACCTGGTATAATTGGATAACATTGAAATTAGAAGTTAGCTTGATTGTGCATCCTGAATTTCTCAAGGTAGACAGTGAGAATATGTTGTAAACCCGGAACAAAGGAGAGACAGGGACACCAAGACAGAGAGACAGAAAAGCAGAAAGACAGGGGACAAAGAGCTCCAAGACTGCAGCCCCGAGCCCAGTGCCCTTCTCACTCTTATTGAGAATTGCCAGGAAGTAAATCACAGAGAAGATTCTTTACTCATGAAGCTTAGGTTTTTTATGGCTGACAACGTTATGCTTATCTCAGGAATTATGGTTTTGTAAACAGTCCTAGCATTGTGCAGGCGCAGTGAGGCATTCCTTGATGCCTGGTTTCCAAGACCTGTCTCAGGAGGGATTCCAGCTTGTATTTATGCTTACTTAAATTCCTGTTTTAAGCATGAGGTTTATCATTCAGATTAATAATTGATTTAAATTTAGTTTAACATTTTAGCTTCGCATAAGAATATATACATATGTAATATATATATATATATATATATATATATATATATATATATATAGCTACAGTTCCTTCACACAGGGAAACTCGAAAAAAAGTAAGCTTAGTAGGATTAATTCTTAATACTTTGTTGTGTATAATGTGTTCTCTGTCTGTAGGTAAAGCTCTGTTAATGGTTGTGTGCTGTCAAGGCGATTCTGATTTGATTCTGATTTGATGATGTGTATGATAGAGTAGGAGTGCCCCATCATTTCCTCAGCTGTGAATCTTTACAGGAGCAGATCCTCAAGAGGAGTCTTGTCTACTGAGGAGCCACTACTGGGGTTACCACTGGCCTCTTGTCAATGTACAAGAGTTGAATCTGATGTGGGATGACCTACTATTACTGGGTTTCTGAGGCTAATAATCTTTTTCTAGGAGGAGACAGCTCATCTTTCTCCCTCAGAAGCTATTGGATTTCATTGTTATGTACCATTGATTCATAGCTGATCTTCTAGTGGGTTTTCAGAGGCAATAAATTGCACAGGAGGAGACTGCCCATCTTTTTCCTCAGAGCAGCTGTTGGGTTCAAATGATGTACCTTTGCATTGGCAGCACAATTTTCTTATCACTGAGCCACCCGAGCTCCCTGTGGAGTCCTTTTTGGTTAGCAATTTGCTATCCTGTGCCTTTATTGCTGTACAAGCCATAATTTCTCTCTGGTCTAATTTATCTTTCCTTTAAAAAAAATTTTTTTTTTAAATTTTTATTTTATTTTATTATTTTTGTGTGAGTGTACCGTCAAATCAGATCTGACTGGTACAGGAGGAGATTGTCCCTCCTTCCCCGGCAGAGCATCTGGTGGATTCGAACCGTGTGCCTCTGGGATTATAGTTGCAGCTCCATGCCACTAGGCCTTTTCAAAATTTAAAGACACTCTGGTGAAACAGTGTATGTGTTGTACTGCTAATGGAATGGTCCATACTCTGCAGAAGGAAGATGAGAGGCACCTTCCTCCCCTATAGACTTAGAGCTTGAGAAACCCGATAGAGGGTTGCTGTGAGTTCGAATTGACTGGAGGGCCTTAGGCCTATAGCTTACAGTTAATCTTTTCATCAAGTGATAAGAATGTGAAAAATTTATCCAAGACTAAGCCCATGACTGGTTGTATGAATATCCTAGTCCAAGTACAACCAACACTGTCACAAAGGAAAGAGATCAGTCATTGTTTATGCCTCCTCTCCAATAATAATAATAATAATAATAATAATAATAATAATAATAATAATAATTTGACTTAAAAAGGGCAGCTTGTGAATCAGCCATATATATCTCTCTCAGACTTTTTTCCTCTTCTTGATGGGCCTCATTGGTGTATTTTGTTTTAATGATGAATGGCTCTTAAATGGCAGTATGCATTTCTCAGTGGCCAAGACACTTGATATCACATGCACTTTTTTTTGAAGGCTTTTGAGAGCCTTGATAAAAAGCTGCAGTTTTAAAGTCACTCGTAGGCCTGCATTTCATGGTATACAGCTTCTGAATTCTCATTGCAGTGTTTATTCTCAGTCGGATTCTTGAATCTGGTCTTAAATTTTGCTGCAAAAGTAATACCAAAGACCAGTAATATCTGCGCCCGGGCATACTTCCTCCGGTCATGAAAAACCATGAAAAAGGAGTCCTGGTGGCACAGTGGGTGAAGTGCTGGCCTGCTAACCAAAAGCCCTGCAGTTTGAACTCACCGGCCTCTTTGCTGGACAAAGATAGGTAGTTTTGTCTCATTAAGATTTCTGTAGGCTCGGAAATTTGATAGAGAGTCACCATAAGTTGGAATAAATTTGTAGGCAGTAGATTTTGTTTTGGTCACAAAACAGTTACATCTAGGCAAGAAAATGAATTATAATCAGCAGATCATTTGATTAGTGAGCAAGGAATGTTGTGTAGATAACTTAATAGTTTAATGCCAACAGGCTGTCAGTATTTGACACATTTGTTCATTACTTTTTCATCACTTAGGTTTTTTTTATGTTTTTGGTTTTTTCATTATGCCTGACCATCTCTAAAAATGATAAATGAATGAGGAAAGCCTTAGTAATGAGTACTTCCCTTAAAGTTATGTGATATGTACTCATCAAGAATTGGATGCCAGTACCAGTAATGTCAGGATGTGGTTTGTGTGAGTGATACACTCAGTATCAACTGATAATCGTAAATTGATGGATAAGTCATTTAATCCTTATCTAAGTATCTAGATATGGACTTGGACCCAATGGTGGCATAGTGACCTCCCTCAATCTTTTTGCTACCAGATTTGACCAGGTAGGCCTGTCTTCTCTTACGTGAACATGACTGTGTGAGAACTGATTCCTGAAGGCCTTAGCTTGAAGTCACTGGGAGAGAAAAGCAGTAAGCATGAGTATAACTAGAGAAGATCAGGAAGCATTTTGGTGGGTAAATATGTAGGCTGTGAGAGGATCAGTGTTAGGAGAGGCTTCACTTTTCATATTCGTGGTAGCTTATAAAACAAAGAGGCTGGGGTTCTTTTACATGTTTTCGGCTTTCTCTGTTGCCTCTGGATGGGATGGAGGGATAGGGAAGTGGAATGGGCTAAAGTGGAATGGAAAGATAATGGGAATTTTTGCTTGTAACAAGTATGAGTAGTCAGCCTATAGGTTTTCTCTCTTACCTTTAGCTTCTGTGAGCGTAATCCTTAATTTGCTGCCTTGATGTCACTCCATGAAATAGAATATTAACATTTTGTAGAAATGCCAAGAGCTGACAGTGACAAATCCCCTTTTCAGCTTCTCAGGTCCTGGCACCCTGTGCAGCATGTTGTTACAGTGTTGCTGATGTGGATGTTTTCTTCAGGTCATGGAGTTACTAGTTCATGTGACAGGCCTAATGATGAGAACATAGAGGTTCATAATGGTCCCTGTGAGATACTCTACCCTAGAAAAGACTCCTGATTCTGCATTGAAATTTGATCATGTTACATTGACATCTTTTTTTTCTTTTTTAGGTGATGAAATTTATTGAGAAGACCCAGAACATGTCTAAGTGAGTATTACTCAGTAATTGACATATTCCTGAGGTTTACATCTGTTTATTATTCAATAAGTGACATATTCCTAAATTTTGTTGTTGTTCTGTTTTTAATATCACTAAGCTTATGGCAAGATTCTGGGATACTGTCAAGCATTGGTGGCCTAGTGGTAAGGAGTTGGGCTAACCCAAAGGCAAGTGGTTTGAATCCACTGGCTGCTCTGCAGCAGAAAGACAGGTAGTCTCCTTCTGTGCAAGTTACTATCTTTTAAAACTAGCTGGAGGGTCAGCTATGGGTCTGTTCTAACTTGACGGTACAGAACAACAACAACATCAAGCAGTGAATGTGTTTGAGATTGAGATGAAGCATTTGGGATTGAAAAAGAGTAGACAGGAACATCTTTATGGTGCTAAACACCTTTGGTACTAGCAGTCAGGAGATCAAAGACATACTGCTTTAGGCAAGTTTACTGTGAGGGACCTTTCCAAAACACTGAAGAGCAGTGACATCAGTTTGAAGACTACGGTGTGTTTGATTCAGTCCATGATCCTTTCAGTCACTTACTATGTATCTGAGTGCTTGACCAATGAATAAGGATGGCAAAAGAAGAACTGATGCCTTTGCATTGTGGTTTTGAAGAAGAGTACTGAATATCTTCTGGACCGCAAATAAAAACAGACATGTCTTGGAAAAAAGTGCAGCCTGAATGCTTCTGGAAGGCAAGGATGGTGAAGCTTCATTCTCTCATACTTTGGATATGTTAATAGTCTAGAAGAGGCTATTAATTGGAATGGGGTATCATTTTTGGAAAGGTGGAAGGTCAGTGAAAGAAAGGAAGACCCCAATCAGATGGATTGACATGGTGACAGCAACAGTGGGCTCAGGTATATCAGAGAGGATAGGACATGCTTATTTTCCTATAGGGTTGCTATGAATCATACTCTGCTCATAGACACTTGGCAGCAACAACAACATGCCCAATTACTTTGCTATCCTCCCTTGGTTTCTTGTGGGATAATGTCTGATTATGAGGTACTTTGAGACTTTGTACAAATTTACTTGTCTGCCTGCTTTCTCTTGGGAAACTGCTTACTGATATCAAAGCTGCTTTTATGTTTTTAAAACTTTGTTTTCAGTGAATATAATTTACACAGTTCAGAGAATAATTATTTCTTAATTAAAAAGTTAATCAGAGTATAAAATTTTACTTACAAAAAAAAATTTTACTTACCATTGCTCACAATTAACCAATATTCTGTTTTTAATCTGTGTTTTTGATTAGTGCAATATGCCACGGACTGTGCCACCAGAATGCCTTTGTTTTTATTTTTTTGATAATACAATTTAAAAAAGATCATTTATTTGTAAGAAAAAGACCCTGGATGAGATTAATTGATACAGTGACTGGGGCGATGGGGGTTGGTTTGGTGGAATTTGTGAGACTGGCTTAGGACAGGGCAGAGTTCAGAGCCACTGTATGTAGGGTCACTATGAGTTGCAGGCGACTTGATGGTAAATAACAGCAGCAACAATTCATTATAAAGAATTTTAACCATGTATAATATTTAAATGGTGAAATGGTAATTCTGATTTTTTTTAGAAATAACTAATTTACATAAAGTAAGTGGATTTTAAATTTTTATGCATGTATGCATAGGTAGAAAGATGGACAAATAAAGATTTTTTTAAAGTAAGTATTATACTAGAGATTTTTGTGTTTTTTGCAGTTGAGAAACATTTCCAGTTCTTTTCCTTTCTTAAAATTATTAATCAGAAAACAGATTTATAGCGCCACTTCTGAAAATGAGAAGCAAAGTTCACAAAATTCACAAGAACACATACTCAGCTAGAATCTAGTTAAATTGTGGCTGTTCAACAGATTACGTTTCTTCCAGCATTTTCTCAATCAGTTCTTTGTTATATCTGCCTTTCTGTTTTCCATCTTTCCAAGATCTTTGTCCACTTTTAGCCAGTTGACAACACCTTCCTTGGGTAAATGCCCACGTGGACAGTTGGACCATTTACCTTCTCACGCTGCCCTCTTTGGATGTAGATGACCTGCTTCTTTCTGTAGACCAGGACATTTGCCAATTTGCTGACCTTTGTAGTGTTCTCGCACCACCTGGACCTCGTCGTCCTTGAGGATGGGCATGGAGTGCATGTTGTACTTCTGCCACAGCTCCTTGGACAGTGGGGAGGACATGATCTTCCTGCACACATGCGAGGATGCATTGAAGTGGCATTTGCAGTTCTTGCTGCAGTCCAGGGTCACTAATTGACTCATGAGCAGAAATTAACTTTTTCCCTCTCACCTGTTGACAGCTAACCTGTTTTCTCTCTGCATTGGATTTGCCTACTGGGACATTTCCTAGAAATGCAAACATACATTATATGCCATTTGTATTTGGCATCTTTCACAAAGCATATGATTTTAAAGTTTCATTCATGTTATATAGTGTAAATAATACTTTATTCCTTTTTTTATGGTTCAATAGTGTTCTATGAATATACCACATTTTATTAATCCTTTCATTAGTTGATGGACATTTAGATTGTTTCTAGCTTCTTAGTTCTTATGGATAGTGTTGCTATGAATATTAGTGTTCAAGTCTTTGCATGCATTTATATTTTCAGTTGATTGTGCATATCTAGGAGTGGACTTGCTGGGTTCTATGGGTGTTGTTGTTGTTATGTGACGTTGAGTTGTCTGCGACTCATAGCGACCCTATGTACAGTAGCCCTAAACCCTGCTCTATCCTTTCCCAGTCTTACTGTCTCTGACACACCTAACCCCCTTACCCCAATCACTTAATCAGTCCATCTCATCAAGAGTCTTCCTCTCTTGCGTTATCCCTCCACTCTCCCAATCCTGACATCCCTCTCCAAAGACTGGTCCCTCCTTGCAACATGTCCAAAATATGTCAGACGCAGCTTCAGAATCCTTGCCTCCAAGGAGCAGCCTGATCTCACCCTCTCTAGGATGAACCTGTTTGTTTTCCTAACAGTCCATGGTATATTCAGTACTCTTCTCCAGAAGCTCAAAGGCATCAGTTCTCCTTCTGTCATCCCTAGTCTTTGTCTAGCTTTCTGATGCATAGCATTTAATTAATTGCAAAGACTATGGCCTGGATCAGGCACACCTTAGTCGCCAGACTGCTATTGTTGCTCTTCAGTACTTTGGATAGGTCTGTGATAGCAGATTTTCCCTATGCAGTTCGTCTTTTAATTTCCTGCTGCTGGTACCAACAATGCTGATTGTGGAACCAAGCAAACTAAAGCTGTTAACAGTCCCAGTCTCTTCATCTGTCATGATGCTGTCAATCAGCCCAATGGTGAGAATCTTTGTTTTGTTGATGTTGAGCTTCAATTCATATTGAAGGTTGCAGTCCTTGACCTTCTGCAGTAAGCGCTTCAGGTCCTCCTCAGTTTCAGCAAATAGGGTTGTGTCATCTGCATAATGTAGATTTTTGTTGATTCTTCCTCCAATCCTGATGCCACATTCCTCCTCATACAGCCCAGACTCATAGATGATCTGTTCTGCATATAGATTGAAAAGGTATGGAGTTAGGACACATTCCTGGCGAACACCCTTTCCAATTTTGAACCATGCAGTGTTTCCTTGCTCTGTTCTGACGACTGCCTCCTGGTCCAAGTATAGGTTTCGCATAAGCACAATCAAATGTTCTGGGATTCCCATTCTTCTCAGAGTCAGCCACAGTTTGTTTTGATGCACACAGTCAAATGCCATTGCCTATTCAATGAAGCACAGATAGACATTCCTCTGGTGCTCTCTGCTTTCAGCCAAGATCCATCTAACATTAACTACAATATCCCTAATACCTAATATCTTCTAAACCCAGCCTGCACTTCAGGCAGTTCTTTGCTGAGGTTCTGTTCTAGTTGTTTTTGGATATTTGCAGAATCTTCCTTGCATGTTATATCAGTGATAATCAGTTGGATAATTTCTGCACTCAGGTCATCTTTCTTTGGATTAGGAACAAATACAGATATCTTTCAAGTCATTTGGCCAGGTGATTGTCCTCCAGATTTTTTGGCACAACTTGGTGAGCACATCCAAGGCAGTGCCTGTTTGTTGAAATATGTCAATTGGTATGCCATCAATTCCTGGGGCCTTGTTTTTTACCAGTTCTTTTCAGAGCAGCTTTAACAACTTCTTCCTTCATCAATACAGGCTCTTGCTCATATGTTGTTTCATGAAATTCTTGTGTGTCCACCAATTCCTTTTGGTACAATGACTGTATACTTTTTACACCTTGTTTTAATGTTTCCTGGATCATTTAATATTCTGCCCAAAACATCCTTAATTATTACAACTCGAGGCTTCACTTTGTTCTTCAGTTCCTTCAGCTTAAAAAATGCTCAGGGAGTTTGGCCCCTCTGATTTTCTGACTCCAGTTCTTTGCACATTTCATTGTAATATTTTGTGTGTTTAACTATGGAAGCCAGACTGACTATGTGAAGGTATTATTTTCTTCCCACTCTTGCCAATACTTGTCACCCGGTTTTATGAAGAAGAATGTTACATCATGTGGTAAGGGTTAATTGTCCAAAAGGGCTTCCCTCCTAAACATTTGACTCTGACTTTGCCCCATGGATGGGTGGCAGTATGTGAATAGAACGTGTTAGCCTGTCCACCAAGAGATCTCACCAGTCCACCAAGGGATTGGCTAGTCTCACCATTAAATTGAGCAAATCCAGTAGGAGAATAGGAGAACGCTCACTACCAGCAAAGAAGCAGAAGGAGAATGCAGTGTTTCCTTTGAAACCAGAGATTTGTGTGTCAGCCAGACTAGGGCCCTACAGGAAAGCAGCCACAGCGGAGAGTCAGAGGCCCAGTATGAGAGGGAGCTAACCTTAGAACTACTGTCCCCCCATAGAACCAGTGCTAAGAGCCTTTGCTCAAGTTTGTTGGACAACAGGGGGGGTGGAGGTAGGAGTTCATAATCATCATTGGCAGGACTAAGAACTCTAGAACACTGGCCTAAAGCCGCGAGACTCAAGGCTGAGGTATCTGCAAACACATTTCTGAAGCTCTCCTGGTTGTATTCTGCTACCAATCTGAAGCTTTTATCTTCTCTAATAAGATACTGCAAACAGAGTAAGGGAACACTACACGGTTTAAAATTAAGAAAGGTGTGCTTCAGGAATGTATTCTTATTCTCTCTTCATACCTATTCAGTCTGTATGCTGAGCAAATTACTCAAGAAGCTGGACTCTATGAAGAAGAATGTGGCATCAAGATTGGGGGAAGACTCATCAACAACCTGTGTTACACAAATAACACAACCTTGCTTGCTGAAAGTGAGGAGAGCCTGAAGCTCTTGTTACAGAAGATAAAAGAATATAGCCTTCAATTTCGGTGTCAAGAAAACAAAAATTCTCACCCCTGGGCCAATAGGCGACCTCATGATAGATGGAGAAAAGATTGAAACTATCAGTAACTTCATGTTACTTTAGTTAACAGTTAGGAAATCAGTAGACATACTGCACTGGGAAAGTACGCAGCTAAGGACCTCTCCAAATTATTGAGAAGCAGTGATGTCAGTTTAAAGGCTAAGGTGTGTCTGATTCAGGCTGTGGTCTTTCGGATCACTTGCTATGCATCTGAGAGCTGTGTAGTGAATAAGGATGCCAGAAGAATTGAAGCCTTTGAGCTGTGGTGTTGGAAAAAAGTGCTGGATATCCCATGAACTACTAAAATAACAAACAGATGTTTCTTGGAGAAAATGCAGCCAAAGTACTCCTTGGAGGCAAAGGTGATAGGCTTTGTTTCATCTACTTTGAGCATGTGGTTAGGAGAAGTGATTCCTTGGAGAGAGAGATCATGCTTGGAGAGGTGGAGGGATGGCGGAGGATAGGAAGACCCTCAAGCAGGTGGATTGACACAGTGACTTGCGTGACTTGAGGGTGTCAGACTACGAGGACGGCCCAGGACAGGACAAGGTTCATACCTGTTGCTCATAGGGTTGTCCACAGAATGGTACTCGACTTGAGGGTCGAACACTACCACTTTGTTTTAATGAATTATTTTCAAGAGCTCACAGTGGACCCAAGTTTTCCTTTGAAGATCTTTGGCTAGACTCTTAACTCCAGAACTTCTGATAACCCCAAAGCAGGCAGATGTGTCGTTAAACAGTTTCTGCCAGTTGTTTCTAAGAAGTGTTTTGTACATAGAAATTGTTCACACATAGTGAGTTTTGAGTTACAGCAAAGAGCTTACAGGTCAAATAGTCCGGGGTAGAATAATACTTGCTGGGCCGTTGACCTTTAAGGCCACTGCCAAGCTGTGGAGATGCCAGTGGAATCAGTACCAGTTAAAACACTACACAAAACTCAGCATTTTTATAAAAATTCTCTGTGTGTGTGTGTGTGTGTTTTCTTTTTCTATTAAATGCCTTAAATTGTTGTAACTGTTTAGGTAATTTTAAGACTGCTGAAAATACTGCTTTTTAGACATTTTTGCCAGTGTTTCATTATTAAAAGATACTAAGTGAAACTGGAGAAATTGTTATATGTTTGTTTATCTGAAGAAGGACTTCTAGTTGTAGTTAAACACTTGCCTGCTAATTAAAAGATGGGCGGTTTGGACTCGGCAGCCTGAAGAAAGATGAAGCAGTCTCCTTCTCTGAAGATTTATAGCCTGGAAAATGCTATGAGATCTGCTCTGCTCTGGGCTTCTTATGAAACGGAGTGGATTTGATGGCAATGGGTTTTATCTAAAGATTTGTTCTACATTAATGATTTTTTTAAAAGTTAATATGTTTATATAATAGTTAAGAACCATTTGTTCTTAACTACTAAATTTGTTTTAATTTTAAATATTTTTAGATGACTCCCTGCTATGAAAACACTCACAAGATTTGCCTCATTTCTCAACTTAACTGACTTTTGTTAGCTTTTGTTATTATTATATTTCCAAGTCGAATACTTTCTCATTTCACTGTATTAGTTTTCTATTTAAATGAACTCAGTATGGACTCTGTCCCTCCCCACCCCCAAATCTCTTTATGTTTTAATTTTGTATTATGAATTCTTTCTTAACAGGTATGATTTCAATGGTAGTAGTTTTGTCAGATAGAGTTAATGAATGTTTTCTCTGAGTTTTTCACATTTATGTCCGTCCATCTGTTTTTTATTACGATGTTTTTGTACCATCGAGTTAGAACTGATCCTAAACTGACCCTCCAAATGTCTTTGCATAGTCAATGAAACACAGGTAGTCATTCCTGTGGAACTGTTTGCAGCCAAGATCCATCCAGCATTGGCTATGATGTTGCCAGTGCCATGGCCTCTCCTAAACCCAGTTTTCACTTCTGGAAGTTCCATGTTGATGTACTGTTGGAGTTGTTTTGTATAATCTTTAGCAGGATCATCTTTGGATGTAATATTAGAGATACCACACTCTATCTAATTACCTTTTCTTGGAATGGGAATAAATATGGATCTCTTCCAGTCAGTCGGCCAGGTAGTTGTCCTCCAGATTTCTTGGCATAACCTGGTGAGCACATCCAGGGCAGCCTCTGCTTGTTGAAATAAGTCAGTTGACATCAGTTCCTGGGGCCTTGTTTTTGGCCAGTTCCTTCAAAGCAGCTTAAATGTCCTCCTTCATTACCATTGCTTCTTGATCATATGTTGTTTCATGAAATTCTTCTGTGTCACCCAGTTGACTATGTATTCCTTCCATTTTTTTTAATGCTTTCTGAATCATTGAGTATTCTGTCCATAGCATCCTTAAGTAGTGCAACTCAAGGCTTCAATTTGTTGGTCAGTTCCTTAAGCTTTCCTTAAGAAATTCCAAGCAAATAATTTCTTTTGAATTTCTGACTCTAGCTCTTTGCACATTTCATAATAATACTTTGCTTTATCTTCCCAAGCTGCTTTTTGAAATCTTCTGTTCAGCTCCTTAACTTTATTTCTTCCCTTTATTTTAGCTTCTCAGCGCTCTAGTGCAATATTCAGAGTCTCTTCCAACATTCTTCTCTGTTTTTGTAATGACCTTTTGTATTGTTCATGGATGATTTCATTCTGCCATTTTAATCTAGAAAGTAAACATTAATTATGCTAAAAGCTTAAGTATATATAATCTTGGGTATTTCTTTCCACTACAAGTAGTAACTGTGATGTCCACATGTGGCTTATTGTGTTTTGCCTTAGACTTGTGTATTGGGGCCCTTGACAGAGAAGGGCCTAGTTGCTAGTTTAGGCTTTCTTCATTTGAATTTCTTTGCATTTTGGCTTCCTGCTTCTCCAACTTTTGAGTTCTTTTCTTGTCTTTGTTACCTCACTAATTTTGATCTCAGAATATATTTACTGAAATGTATTTATTTCAGATTTTACCCATTAGTTTTAGTATCCATTGTTAATTCTTATCCAAATCAATTACTAAGAAAGTTGCCAAATAATTTGCTAGTGCTGTCAGATTTTATTATTTATTAGTTTCCTTTCTGTTAAAAGGGACACTTTCCCTTCTGCTCTATTCCTTCATCCCACTACTCACATAAAAAAAAAGTTGTTTAAACTTTCAACCAGCTAACAGATGCCTCTGATTATCTTATCTGATTGGTTTTCCAAGAGATTTACAGTCTTGTTTTGCTTATCTCCTTTCCTAATACAATATGGTCTGTAATAAGCACAGTCTTCCCTCTGATGGTCTGCTGTGATGCGTGGTCTGTAGTTCCTGCCATTACTTCACTGAGCAAAGCCCAGGAATTGTGTTGTATGGTTTAAGGACTATGGAGGAAGTTAGAATTAGCAGTGTTAAGGAAATCTCAGCTGATCAGATGTTGAGTGTTTGTGTGATAGAAACTATTTTTTCAGCATTACACAAGTGTGACACTTATGATCTTTCCTTACATAGGTATATTTTGATTGACACACCTGGGCAGATTGAGGTATTTACCTGGTCAGCTTCCGGCACAATTATCACCGAGGCCCTTGTGAGTATCCTAGAACTGTTACTGAGAATAACCAGATGGCTGTACTGGCTTAGCATCTTTGTTTTGCCTGGAATTTTATATGGGAGAGAGTCACAACAGCTCTTCATGGTCAATATAATGTCATTTTTCCCTTACCAAAGAAGTTAGCAAAAGGGTAAGGGTACAGGTCATGAGCCCTCTAACCACATTGTGCTTGTTTTGTGGCCTTAGGCATCCTCATTTCCAACCGTTGTCATCTATGTAATGGACACATCGAGAAGCACCAACCCAGTGACCTTCATGTCCAATATGCTCTATGCGTGCAGGTAATGGGTTGTTACAGGTGGGCATGTATTCATCAAGGTATTTATGAGGCCTCTTTGTTTTCTCTGATTTTTTATTTTTAATACTACTTTGCCCTGAATGTTTATCCTTGCATTATTCTGAGTTGTGAGTAAGTCAGAAGAGAAAAGAAGAATATGAACTGTAGGCATTTTCTTAGCTATTTCTGACCTTTCCTTACTTGCTTTGAAAGTGGGTGTTTTGGGTGGGAGCAGAGGGGTGAGGATGGGTTGGGACCACACCACAGAGTTGCACAGTTTGGTGGGTGGAGGGAGGAGGGAAAGGAAATGGGAAAGACCTGGTGGGGACCTCAAAAGACAGGGTAATAATGGGCATAGTGCAATGGTGATTAATTTTTAAAACAATAATGCATAGGAAAGAGTATATGAAACTAAAATTGACTGAAGAATAGTGTGAAACACAATATGAACTTTGTAAGCAAACCAATGTAAAATAAAAATTGAAAGTAGGTCTTTCATGATTACGGATCTTCTGGTTGTTGTCCTCATTTAAATGATATCCAGATCTAAATAGAATGAACTCCCCATCTAAGGCTGCTTTCTTGTGTTAAGATAGGTAGTGTGAAATTATAACGTGAGGAGAGACTATGAATGACAAGATTTATCTGCAAATCTAAAATGTACACTTTTGCTGTTAAGAAAGGAAGGCCTTGTCTCACTACCCTTTGTGTGTACACAGAGTCCACCACAGCATTTGCTTTTCTGATAGTACTCAGACATGTCTGTTCTTGTTAAATGTAAGTGCTTTTACAAATAATGTCTTGATGTTTGCTTTTCAGCATCCTGTATAAAACCAAGCTGCCTTTCATTGTGGTCATGAATAAAGTAAGTGGATGCCCTGTGTAGTGGTATAGCGTTTCTTTTTTCATTAGAGTCTTGTGATTGTCAGAAGGTTTCTGGGGGTGGGGGGCAATGAGAAGGTGTTGTAAAGTAGGCTCATGCTTTCCTCAGAGAAGGTCATGGGCATCTCTAGGAAATGGATTTAATCAAATTGAATGAAAATTTATCATGGACTCTTACCCAGAAGTATTTTAAGTCATGTTTTATATTTCCTTGACTCTAGTGTATAAGTTATCCCTTAGAAGCAAGATCCACAGGAATGGTTGTAGGACTGAGGGAAAAAAACCACTACCAACAAAAAAGCATTGCTCTGTAACTGTGTAAAGGCCAAGATGCAAGGGACTGCTTGCCTTCAGACCCTGAAATCCTTTGATTGTGGAGAGTGGATTGTGAAAGGGCTGTTGTAACAAAGAAAACATAGATCTTTATTTAATTTTATATATTACAAAACCATCTTGGCTCTTTGTCATTTGTTGTAATAGAAAAAGAAGGGAGACAGAAAAAGAAAAAGTGATAATGAGCTTATCAATTAAAAAAATAACTATGCCATCGTTTGGGGTCTGATCTCTTATCTCATTGCTGGTAATTGACTTTTCTCTGGTACAGACTGACATCATTGACCACAGCTTTGCAGTAGAATGGATGCAGGATTTTGAGGCTTTCCAAGATGCCCTGAATCAAGAGACAACATACGCCAGTAATTTGACTCGTTCCATGAGTTTGGTGTTGGATGAGTTTTACAGCACACTCAGGGTAACCTTTCTCTTCTGCTCACTCTGATATCTCCAGTTAGCCTTATAACCACTGATTGATTTTGAACCTAGGAAGCTCTGTATCTTCTCAAAAACAACTTTTAAAGTATTGTTACGGTGTTGCATACCATTGAGTCAGAACCAACCCATAGCTGACCCTGTAACAAGTTGTCTGAGGCAGTAAATTTTTCCTGAGAAGCAGCTGGTTTACTTTCTAAACTTTGTGGAAGTTTAAATGATAAAAACCCCTACCCTTGGTCTGTGGTCTGTGGTCTGATTCGGAGAGAAAGATGCACACAGAACTGAAACATGGGATAGTGTGGTAAGTACTGTAGAAAGGTTGGAAGTTGAGCATGATGGTGAGAGGCAGATAACATTTGAGATGAGATTCTCTAAGATGCAGCATTAAAAGATGCAGCATTTGAAGGAAGGGGGTAGAATTTATGTAGGCAGAAGGGAGTGTGATTGGCAGGAAGTACAGGCAGCCCTTAAAATAAGTTACAAACATCTGACTGGGGTACAGTTTACATACAACTTGTAGATATGAAGAGCACTTTGATGGCCTGGTCTGTAGGGAGTTGTACTGCTAACACATGGCAGAAGCTCTCTGCAGTTCTAATCTACCAGTGACTCCATGGAGAAAGGTTAGAAATCTCCCACGTGATTTATTTACAGTCTTGGCAACCCACTGGAGAGTCAGCTATGTGTCAGTTCCCACCTGAAGGTAGAGAGAAGTAGTTATGAACCAACTCCTAAAAACTTATTCAATAGCCGAGGTACATTCAGTGGTTTGTGATAACAAATGCACATTGTGGAATGCATCATAATGTTATTACTGTTTTATGTTAAAAATGCTTTGATGTATCTGGAAGTGTTTCTTAAAGTTTTCTTTGCATCGATGCGCTGCAATCCCAGAGATGCATGGTTCAAATCCACCAGATGCTCTGCTGGAGAAGGAGGGGCAGTCTCCTCCTGTACCAGTCAGATCTGATTTGACAGTACACACAAAATTAATAATAATAATAAAAAAACTTTCTATTTAAAAAAAAAGTTTTCTTTACATGAAAAGTTATGTTATATACTGTATACTAACAAACGTGTCTGAGTTTAGGTAAAAAGTGTATGTAACTCTTTTGATTTATGTACAAGTTAAATTTATATTAGCATTTTATTACCACTTACATTCTCTGCTCTCTGGGCAAAGGCTTACACAAACTCTTGTGCAAATTAACCGCGCTTCTGAGGAAGAAGAGAAAAGAAAATCCTATTGGGGACTTTTTAATTATTGAGTGCCATCAGGTCAGAGCCAAGCCATAGCTAACTCTCCAGTCCATTCCCAGAGGCAGGAATTGCATGAGAGAAGATTGCCCATCCTCCCCCAGAGCAGCTGGTGAATTTGAGAACCAATTCTACATGGTGGTTAGCAGCCAACTCCTTGTCACGAAGCCACCCGTGCTTCCTGAGGACATTAACGTCCCTGCAGTTGTGGTATAATAGTTTTATCAGGCAAAAACTGGACTATGAATGGAACTGAATCCTAATCTTCATTCCTAATAAAAATCAAAACGGGAGCTCTCAGACCTCATGGTAAAGAGTTACACTATCAATCCAAAGGAACAGTTCTCATCCGCCAGCCACTCCACGGGAGAAAAATGGCTGCTCCTCCCATGTGTTTTACAGCTCAGAAAACCCTCTGGAGGGTCACCTGTGAGTCAGTACTGACTCTACTACCAGTAATGGCAGTAAAAACCAAAAAGGATTGCCTGTAGCCTAGATTGGAAGCAAAGGCATTAAAGTACTAATTTTTATATTATTTTATATAATTTTTATATTATTTTATATAATTTTTATATTATTTTATATTTTTATATTGTTGGCTTGGTAAGAATAGTTAGTAAATCTGGCCCTAATTACCCTTTCCTTTTTCAGTTCTTTATTTTCTGTACTCCTATGGTTTTTGACCAAGCATGATGGTTTTTGTCTTAGTTTACTTTTTAGCCAGCGAGGTTCTTACAGTGTGTAAGTCTCTCTTCCAAAGATTTTACAACCTTTGAACAAAGTAATGTATGCTACTTTAAAATGCACAACTTCCTTTACGACCTTTGTGATGCTTTTGCAGGTAGTTGGTGTCTCTGCTGTTCAGGGCACGGGCTTAGATGAACTCTTTGTGCAGGTCGCCAGTGCTGCTGAAGAATACGAAAGGTGAGGAGAAAGGAAAATCCGATTAAGGACATTGTTGATAACCTACAATTTGGAAAAGAAAGTAGTTTTACCAGACAAAGAATTTAGGTTTCCACAACATGTTTTTTAACTTGCTGTGGATTATGTATCCTGGATCTGACTGTGTGTCTTAAGTAACAGCTCCCATTGACTATTTTCATTTAAAGAATTATTAAAGTTTCACTGTATGAATGATTAGGAGCAGGAGTTATCAGACCTTTTCTGTAAAGAGCGGATAGTATATATTTTAGACTTTCCAGACTGTAGTTTCTGGCACATCAACTCAGCCCTGCCATTTTGGGACAGAGCATCCACAGACTGTGGGTGAGTGAGTGGGTGTGAACATGGGCTCAACAATTGTGTATTCAGTAAAATATTATTTACAGAAAAAAATTGAGGGCTGAATACAACCTGAGTCTATGACTAAAAGCATAGACTTGAGGTTCAGAAAGGTGTGGGTTGGATTTTTTTCCCTCTACTTAATAGCAATTAAGTAATTCTATATTTGTAGAAATGAGGATAATTATTGCTAAGATTGTCTGGAGAATTATTTGAGAAGAATCCGTCTAAGGCATCTTGCACAATTGCTAACATACAGTAAGCACACTTCATAATAAATGGTTATGAAAACTCTTGTCTGAGTTGATACTAGAATTCCACGTAGCTAAAGGAACTCAGTGTCTGAGAACGCTTGCATTTTCTTACACCAGTGGCCTAATAGGCTGCTTCTTAGCTTGCTTCTTTGAGCTATCCATTTTTAGCAAAGATCCTAATCACATTGTAATTTTTCAGTCACATTATCTTAATTTTCACTCATCAGCCAGTGTTGTTTTTCACATTTGTGAGTGTGGTCTAGTCCTTGAAAAAGACTTATTTTTTACATCCTTTCATTTTGCCTTGGTAAAATATTCACTTTCTTGAGTCTAACAGGCCCCACTTCTTTAACTCATCTCAAATATGTATCCAAAAGATGCTGAGTACATCAGCCATGAGCTAGCTCTCCACTGTTAGGCTTCTAGCTCAGGAATCAGGATTTTATCTATTTATTTCCAGGTAGGATGAGATGCGAGTCAGGTACTTTGGTTTTTAATTCCATAAGGTTAGAATCTCTTTGTGATTGACTGGGGCATGTCACATCTGATATTTAGCAAATTAGATCTGGTAGGGTCCAAGGAAAATAGAAGCAATGGGGTGAGGGTAGGAATGGAAAGTAGGAGAGAGTATTAGGCAAAGGAATTGAGAAAATGTTTCTCTTTCCAGGGATTATCGTCCTGAATATGAACGCCTGAAAAAATCACTGGTAAGAAAGAGGACTGTTTATATATTTTAGAGCCATTGCTAATGATAATACCACTATATCCATTTGCTTTGACTATCAGTATATCTTTTAAATACTTGTTAATTCATTTCAAAACTTTTGTATATTCTGGTCTGGATGCAGAAAAGCTCTTCATTATCTTTTCGTTATATATTTGAATTTGTAAAAATTCAATTTTTTGTGTCAGTTATGCTAGCTTTCTGTATCTCCTTGCCCCATTTCAGGACCCATATGAAGGTCAGTTGTAGATTTGTTTTTCTTTCTTTGTTAAGAATAGAGAAATAATTCACAACTCTTAATAGACTCAAGTTTCTGCCACCATAGGCTGCTTTCTGGCCTTTAATGCAGAGCCTTTCCGCTTTGTTTACTTATGGTGTCTCTGCTTGTGTTTCTGTGTCCAGGTTCTGAATCCCCTAATTCAGTCTGCAGAACCTTCCAGATTAGACTTCTGCTGTAGTCTAAGCAAAGACTCCTCGATGTCTCTGCACCGATACTAGCTATTCCTTTTCCACTTCAGCATTTATGTAATCTCTAGTATTTGTATATAATTGCTTGTCTCTATTTAGAAATTTAGCAACTAATTTGAGTGTCCAAAAATCCCCTGATGTTTTCTCTCTGTTTCAAAGGCCAGTGCACAGAATCAGCAGCAGAAAGACCAACTGGAACGCCTTCGGAAAGACATGGGCTCTGTGTCCTTGGACACAGGGATGGCCACAGGTAGGGACGGTCTCTTGGTGTTAAGAACTGAAAGGAGACTACAGTTTTGTCCACTCAGCAGGCCTCTATTGTACCTATGTACGTATATGTATCTTGTTACGTAGCACTGAGACAAAATTGACTCACAGCAAGTTTTCAGAGGCACTAATTGCACAAGAGGTGATTGTTCCTCTTTGTCCTGCAGAGCAGCTGGCGGGGTTAAACTGCGTGCCTTTGGGTTGACAATTTTCTTACTGTTGGGCCAGCAGAGCTCCTTATCTATATGTATATGAAAAAGAAAAGCATAAAGGAAATGTGGTTTTAAAAATATGTAAGTGCATGAATAAGTAATTTGGAAAAGTAAAGACCCTTGAAACTTATATACAACTACACTTTGGATTCTTCAGGAGTTTTCATTTTCTGTGTCATGATACTTGATATTTATTATTGTTTAACACTTCCCTAGCTTTTTGTTAAGGTGGTTTTTTGTTTTTTGGTTGTTTTTTTTTTTAAATTAACTAGTTTGAGATTTACAGAAACGTTATACACTTAGCTACCCTTTGGTAGATTAACATTCTGCCACATTTATTTATCCTTTCTCTTGTATGTATAACATGAAATAGTTATAAATTCATGTATTTGTAAACAAAAGTATATAGAAGTATTTCTATGTTATGTGTACATGTGTATGTGTGTGTATATACATATATCAAACAGACATACTGCTATTTTCTAAATCATTTGTCTGAATCAGAGTCTGTTAACATGTATATGTTTCCTAAAACAAGAACATTGTTGGATACAACAATGCAACTACCACAAATTAGGAAGTGTACATTGACATATATAAACTGTTCTCCAGTGTATAGGCCTTACTTAGATATGACTAGTTGTGTTTTCTCAAAGGCAGAGGCTGGGCAGCTCTGCTTCCTCCTACCCTGTAGCTGGAGATCCCAAAGGTGGGAGTTGGTGGTGTGGGAGTTTTGTTGACTATGTGGCTGTGTGAGGAATAACATTACGGCTAATATGGAAAAGATAGCAAATCCCAGAACATGTAATTATGCTCATGCGAAGCTTAGATACTTAGAAGCTGTTGTCTGAACAGAGCAAGGGAACACTGCATGGCTTAAAACCAGGAAAAGTTTGTGTGTCTCAGAGTTGTGTCCTTTCTCTGTATCTATGCTGAAAAGAAATACTTGGGAAGTTGGACTATATGAAGAAGGTGGCATCATGTTTGGAGGAAGACTCATAAACAACCCATGTTATGCAGATGACACAACCTTACTTGCTGAAAGTGAGGAGGACTTGATGCTCTTGCTGCAGAAGACCAAAGACTACAGCCTTCATATAGAAGAAGAATTAATATCTTTGAAGTATAGTGTAAGAAAAGAGCACTAAATATCTTAAAGATTGCCAAAAGAACTCCCAGATAGGCCTTGGAGAGAGTGCAGCCAGAGGTTCTCTTCAGAGGCAGTGTGAGACTTCATCTCACATACTTTGGGAGTGTTGTTAAGGGGGAGCCAGTCCCTGGGAAAAAGATACCATGCTCGGAAAGGTGGAGGGTCACTGAAAGAGAAGACGACCCTCAACAAGATGCCTGGTGGATTTGAACTGCCACAGAGGCACAGGTATTCCTTAGTCTGTCTATGAGTTTCATGACATTGACATTTTGGGTACTTTTTATTAGTTTTCTTTTTTAAAGTTTTTTTCCTTGTTGTGTTCTGTTGAATTGGATCTGACTAGCACATGAGGAGATTGCCCCTCCTTCTCCAGCAGAACATTTGGTGGATTTGAACCACACACTTTCAAGATTGCAGCACAGCTTTTTACCATTCGGCCACCAGAGCTCTCTACACATTAATGTTTTTTAAACATCTAATACTTGAAAGGTATGTTATAGAATGTTTCTCCCTTTGAGTTTATTTATGATTTAAGTGATAACATGGATTTCTGCCCTGTCCTATGCCATCCTCACCATCCCTGATATATTCAGGCCCTTGCTAGAGTCACCTAGAGGTCAGTCCATCTTGCTGAGGATGAGAGTCATGGATTCTCTATGAGTGGTAGTCAACTTGATGGCATCTAACAACAGCAATTGTTGCCTTTCATAGCATGAGATAATTCTGGCTCTGCATTACATTCATTTGTTTTTAAACCCAACATTGATTTGATTTGACTGTATAAGACAGAGTAGGACTCTGTCCAAAGCGGTAATCTTTACAAATTCAGAATAGCACATCCTTGTGCTGTGAGCTTTGAACCTGCAGACTAGAGCTCCAGTTTTTTTTCAAGTCAAAAATCAAAGTCATTACTGTCAAGTTGGAATTGACTCATAGCTGACCCTCCAGTTGGTTTTCAGAGACTGTAAATTGCACGAGAGGAGCTTGTCCATCTTTCTCCCCAGGAGTTGCTAGTGGATTTGAACTGCCAGAGAGGGTGGGCATTCCGTGGTCTGCCTTTTTGATTCATGGCATTGACATTTTTTAAGCATCCAAATACATAAAAGTTATTTTATAGAATGTTCCTCAGTTTGAGTTTATTATTTGATTTAAGTGTGATGCATGTTGGCAGAATTGAAAAATGAAGTTCTTTTCAGTGTGTCCATATCAAGAGGCATATGTGTTGATTTGTCCCATTCCTGGTGATTGTAGCTGTGATTACTTGGTTTATGGTCATGTCTGCCAAGATTTTTCATTATGAATTTATTCTTTTTCTCTCTGTAATACATAGAAAGCTCTGGTGGGCTAGTCCGTGGTGAATTTCGCTGCTCACTCTGTATTTCTGTTAGTTAAAATCCACCATTGACTTGGAGAGAGAAACATAAACAGTCTCCTCCCTTTAAAAATTGATAGTCTCAGAAACCTGATGGAAGGTCGCAGTGAGTCTGAACTAACTTGATGGCAGTGAGATTACACTGTTGTTGCTGCTGTTAGCTGCTGTGTAGTTCATTCTAACTCACAGTGACCCCGTGCCCAACAGCAGAGTCCTACCCAGTCCTATGCCATCCTCACAGCCATTGCCATGGGGGAGCTCATTATTGTAGCTACTCTGTCACTCTTCTGTATTGAGGGTCTTCCTCTTTTCCACTGACCCACTATTTCACCAAGCATGATGGCCTTCTCCTGGAATAGTTCCCTCCTGATAACACAGCCAGAGGATGTAAGATGAAGTCTCACCATCCATATTTTTAAAGACAGATTTTGTTTATTTTTCTGTTATTTTGTGGTATGTTCAAAATCCTTCACCAGCCTCAATAATTTAATTGAAAGTCATCAGTTCTTTTTCGGTCTCCCGGGAAGAATACCACAGCTTGGGTCAGGCTTACTTTAGTTTTTAAGTCACATCTTTTAAAAGAAGCCTTTTGCAGCTGATTTGCCTAGTGTAGTACATCATTTGATTCTTAATTCCATGGGTATTTATTGTGTATACAAATAAAATGAAATCTTTGACAACTTCATCTTTTCTCTATTTATCATGATGATGCTTGTTTATTCAATTATGAAGATATTTTCTTTACACTGAGGTGTAATCCAAATGGAAGTTTGTAGTATTCAAGTCCTCTTTACATTCAGTAAACAAGATTGTGTCATCTGTGTTTTGCAGCTTGAATCTTCCTCCAGTCCTTATGTTGTATTCTTTTTCCAGCCCAGCTTCTCAGATTATTTCTTCTGCACAGAGATGAAATAACCCTGATGCACACTTTTCCTAATTTTAAACCAGCACAGTCTATCCTTGTTCTACTCAAACAACTGTCTTATGATTTAGGTACAGGTTCCTTATAACTAAGTGTTCTGGAATTCCTGTTCCTCACAGTGTTAGCCATAATTTTTTTTTTTTTTAAACGGAAAGGATCTTGCTCATGACCTTTGTCATTCATGTCTGAGATTCCTGAGGTTTGGTTGTTTTTTTTTTAATTTTTATTATTTTGTGTGTGTGTGTGTGTGTGTACCGTCAAATCAGATCTGACTGGTACAGAGGAGATGGCCCCTCCTTCTCCAGCAGAGCATCTGGTGGATTTGAACCACGTATCTCTGGGATTGCAGTGCAGCTGCTTGCCACTAGGCCACCAGAGCTCCCCTCTTAGCCATAATTTTTGATGACCAACATTTGAATACCTTTGCAGTGATGCCAGAAATAACATGATGGAATTTTGTAAGACCAATAACTTATTCATCAGGATACCCTGTTTTCAAAACATAAACAACAACTATAACTGTGGAGCGTGTTCTCTGCCTTCAACCTCCCATTCCCACATGCATATTGATGGATTGTCATTAGAGGTCTGTTTAAACTCACTGGGGTCCTGCAGCCAGGTTGGATGTACTCTGGTCTTTCTCACCAGCAATACTAGCAATTTTTTCTCAGTTGTATATTTTAAAGGAATGACGTTTGTCTTCCTGAAGTTTTGCTGTCTAGTTGAGAATGTCAGAACCACTTAGAGAACGAGATATTGCTGTTGTGTACTGTGAAGGTGGAACTGACTCATAGCTGACCCTCTGGTGAGTTGTTCGAGGCAGTAAATCACATGGGAGGAGATTGCCAATTTTACTGTCATGGAGCAGCTGGTGGTTTCAGACTATGTGCCTTTGAGTTGGCAGTGCAGCTCCTTATGACTAGGAACCATAACTCCCTCCTTTATCAGTTAAATAAACTATTCTTTATGCTCACCTCAGCAATATAAATTTGTGTGTCATCATCTTTTAGAATGTTCATGAATACATGACTAACAAATATTAAATCTGCCACTGTACTCATAACTGTCAACTCCCCTCCACTAAAGGTTTGGGGTGTTTCAGTAAATTATTTTGGGAAAATTATTTGACCTACTTAATTCTTTTTTGGGCACAAAAAGCACTGATCCTGTTTGCATCATTTTTTAGAATCATCGGGATTTGTCCCCGTTGAAGTTGCTGCCTTTGGCCATCCTTTGTATTCTTGGAATTATTTCACTTTCTTAGACTCTTGAATTGTCGCTGGTGTGTCATTGAGTCAGAAGCAACTCATAAGTGACCCTGCAGTGGATTTTCAGAGATAGTTAATCACATGGGAGGAAATAGCCCATCTGTCTCCTGCAGAGCAGCTGGTGGATTGGAATGTATACCTTTGGGTTGCCAGCACAACTCCTTACCTTTAGGCCACCAGAGCTCCGTATGTTGTTACTTTGTGCTGTTAAGTCAGAACTAACCTGTAGCTGACTTTCCGTGTGTTTTCAGAAGCAGCAAGTTGCATGAGAGGAAATTGCCCATTCTCCTGTGGAACAGCTGGTGGAGTTGAACTGTGTACCTTTGGCATTCCAGTGCAACTTCTTACCACTATACTTCAGGATATTAAGCGTAGCTTAGGTTCACATAGAGTTTAGGCTCTTGATGCCCTCAGGCTAAACCTCTGAGAAATAATCTCTTGATTGTACTTTGTCCTGATTTTTGGAGAATGACTCTTATAATTTTTCTGGAATATTTTACCTCTATATTATCTATTCCATTGTCCATTTCTTCACTCCCTCCTTTCCTGAATACCTTCACTCCTCCACTCTTGATCATTTCATCCTCTTTTCTTTTCAGACCCTCTCTGACCTTTTTCTGTTAGGAGACTTCCTTAACACTTTGTGCTTTTATTCTTGGCTCAAGAGCATACTGGATATTCCCAAATGTCGTTAGCCCTGATAGAAAAACTCATAGCCTCCTCCCAATGTGTCCTGGTAAAAAAAGTGCCACTGAGACATGCTGCTTAAGGATTATTTCTCTCATTTCAAAAGTGTAATTAAAAAAAAAGTGTAACTACTTGGGTTACTGTGGTCACAATAGCAACTTGGTGAGTAACGTACTAGAGAAATGTGAACTAGTATTAGCAGTGCACTTTAAAAAGGTTAAGAGCCTGCATTTATCACAATTACTTTCATCTTACCAATTTATAATTGTATTTACTTTTTTATTTAAAATTACCCTTTTGAGGAGTCATATGTTCATGACATGCAACTGATGGGTGTGTTATAGACGCTGCATCTTCTGTGATGGACCCTTCGGACTTGATCTTGACCCGAGGAACCTTGGATGAAGAAGATGAAGAAGCAGACAGTGATACTGATGACATTGACCACAGAGGTGAGAGAAGGCTGAGCTGCCGATCAAAACAAAATGGCTGCTTATCTCATTGTTTGCCCGAAGCTTCTTTTTTTTAACTCTTCTTTCTTTTTTAAATTTTTTTTTAATTTTAATAATTTTAATGAACGTTTACAGAGATTTTGGATTTCCATTCATTCATTGCTGCACTTCTCTCCCCTCCCCAGTTCATTCCTCTCTACACAATTCCCCCCCCACACACCCCTCCCACCGCCCCAAATACTTTCCACTATACAACCTTAATTGTGGACGCCCAAAAGCTTCTTGCTGAAGAAATCCTAACTGTGCAGCCAGGAAAAGGGAGAGGAGATGGTGAAAGATACAGCTCTGGGGAAGAGTTTTACATACTGAGAGTTGCTGGTGCACCTAGTGAATGATTAATATTAAGCTGTCACAGTCTTTACTGATTTGTGCCTTCTCATCTTGAAGGCTCTATTTGAGGAATCTAGAATTTTTGTCATGGGGTAGTGAGTGTTTTGTGTTAAGAATATATAATAAGGCTTAAGTCAGTCAGAAAGGACTTATAACAGTGAGGATGGGTTGTTCTGATCACCTGAACCATTGTTTGGCATAGGTGTACGAGCTGTGAGTAGAATTCTTTCTTAAAACAGCTCTAAAGATTGTTGTAGTTGTTGTGACCCTCAAAGTTAGAACTGACTCACAGTTGACATTCAAGTGGATTTTCAGAGGCTAAAAGCTGCACGGGAGGAGGTTGCCTACCTTTCTCCTGTGGAACAGCTGATGGATCCGAACCGTGTTCCTTTGGGTTGGCAGTGCTTCTCCTTACCACTCAGCCACCAGAGCTCCTGTAACTTGAGGATTTAGGTCCTAATTATGACCAGGAGGAAATCTGTCCTTACTCCTGTGTGCAGAATTCTAACATATAAATAGCTTCCTTTAATCAGTTTATTCAGGTATAGTGTTTAACTAAGTGAATTTTGATAAATATGTAGTCATGTAACCACCACCTCAATTAAGGTATAGAACAATTCTGTCACTCCCATAAGTTTCCCGTATGTCTCTTTTTGTCAGTCTCCTTCCCACACAGCATGTCACCGGCAACCACTGTTTTGATTTTTATTCTCTGTATAATTTTGCCTTTTCCAGAATGTCTTGAAAATATAATATTTCTTAATCTTATGAATTTGACTTCACTTATAAAAATGGTTTTTTCCTACCCCATTCAACAATTTATACACATTTTGTTCCATAAGCGAAATGCTTTTGGAATCTGTCCATGTACTTGTAGGTAAGTTTTTGTTATCTTTTGGTTTTGTTTTTTAATACTCCGCTATGGGGGATGTACAGTTATTTGGTCACTAGTTGAAGAAACAGGAACTCTGGTGGCCTAGCCAGTAGGGAATTTCACTGCTAACCCAAAAGCGATTTGCATTTACCTGCATCTGCACAGGAGAGAGAGGGACAGTCTCCTCCCATGTAGTTTATGACTTCGGAAACTCAGTGGACACTCTGTGTGAGTCATTTCGACTCCACAGCCGTAAATTGAAGGAAAGAATGTTTACAGACTTTAACTGATCTTTAGAGAGTAAAACTCCAGTAAGCATTCTTCCCCCCCCCCCACCCCCCGTAAGCATTCTTTTTTGGGGGAGTTTGTTAAAAATATTTATTATTTTTACTTTTATCACTGTTGCATCGTAAACATTCTTAAACAGGTCTTTGTGTGGACACGTATCATTTCTCTTAGATAAAAATACATTTGGCCTGATCTTCATTGTAACTAGGAGGAAGGCATTCTTCCCACCTAAATGAAACAGTATGTTAGGGAAACCTGATAGACCAAGTGTGCTTTTGGGACACATTTCCTGACTGGGAGAAGCGAGTACTTTTTTCTTAGATAAAGGGGTGATAGCAGCTCGGATCTGCCTGTTTAACTGGGGGAGATTTACAAAGCACTGTCCTTCTTTTTTATTGCAGTTACAGAAGAAAGCCATGAAGAGCCAGCCTTTCAGAATTTTATGCAACAATCAATGGCACAATACTGGAAGAGAAGCAACAAATAGAAGAGATTTGAAGAAACTTATTTCTCTAAGTCAAGTTTATGGAACTTGGTATAAAGAACTCCCTTTACCTCTCTGACCAGAGGCTGCCGTAAAGGACAGTTTACTGCAGAGTAGCAGAGCTCCCTGCCTAAAGAGATTACCTGATTCAGATACACTAGGGATGGAAGGTCCTTGGACTTCAAAGGCAGATGCGGATTCCTTTTACAGCCTTTCCCTTGAATTTATACAAGGCAGCCTGTGACTCCCCTTGGAAGCAGGTGCTCCTTCAGGCCTGCAACTTCTGTGTAATTTAGAACTCAAGTACTTTGTGCTGCTGATGTTGGATGAAAGAGAAGTTACTGTGCTGGTGACTACTTCATATCCTTTTGATTGAATCCTTAGTTCTACCTCCCTGGCCCCTTGCACTTTATCCTAAGCTATGAACGCCCCCCTCATTAGGAGAAAGGGAGAAGGGAAACAAAGCACACAAAGGTTGGTGGTGACGCTGCCTTGGCAACCAGTAAATGCTGTTAGGATATGTGGCTCAACCTGGGTAGCTCGTCTTAGTCCTCCAGGCTGATGAAGTTAAATGAGCAATACATGATTAATGAATAAATTCTCTTGATAGTGACTTGGTATAGTTTTTTAGTATATAAGCTGATTTGTTAGGATTTTTCATTCAGAAAATTTTATCATTCCATATAGACTCATGTTTTCCATTCAACAAGAAGACTGAAAGGCACTTGTCCAGACCTCATCTTAAAAGGATGTCATTTTTACTAAAATTACCTATGTACTTATGGGCCTTGTAACCAGACAAAGCCAGATTGCATCTGTATTTTAAATTTAAGCAAAGTACAGAGGTATGTGGTTCAAATCCACCAGATGCTTTGCTGGAGAAGGAGGGGGCAATCTCCTCCTGTACCAGTCAGATCTGATTTGACGGTACACGTAAAAATAATACAATAAAAATTAAAAAAATAAATTTAAGCAAAGTGGTACGGAATTGTGCTGCCAACGCAAAGGTTTGCAAATCCACCAGCTGCTTCATGGGAGATGGGCAGTCTGCTTTGTGATTGAAAACCTGCTGGAGGGTCAGCTATGGGTCAGTTCTGATTCAGTGATACTTAACAAGCACCAGCAAAGATATGTTGATTTACTCAAAAGCAGTGCATTTGTGGCATGTGTCTACCAGAAGTAACAGCTGTGGTAGGGGTGTGTCCTTCCTCCACACTATCTTAAAATGGTGCAATCCTTCCCCCCCAAGAAATTGTCATTGATGACAATCTAATCTCTGATGCCACCTAACAACAAGAAAACCTCTGGACAAGATTTGATTCCTTGAAGTTCCTGCAAGGATAAATATTATACCAGCCACTTCTAAGTCAACTTGAGAAGCATAATTACCAAGCACATTGTGAGTCATCCAGTTAGCTTTCTCCTACAGATGAATCTGTCTGATTTGGGAGAAATTCAAAGATTATTTTTTTTTAACATTGTTCCCTATGGATGACCTCATCACTGCCTATCTCAAACTAAAGAGAGTAAGAGACTAGGGGCATTAGTCCAAAAAGAAGTTTCTTACTTTTTTCTACTCTTTGATTATAAATTCTTTGTCTAAAGTAAAATAAGTTAAATGAAATAAAAGTTTATCAAAATAAAACAAAAGTCTTAAGTCTCTGGATCAGGAAATCAGCATCACTGGGAACTTGATAGAAATGCAGATTCCTAGGCCCCAGTCTAAACCTGCTAAGTCCAGCTCTGGGTGTGAGGCCCAGCAATCTGTTTTTAATAAACCGTGACGTGATTCTGGTGCATGTAAAATCTGAGAACCACTGCTCTAACTCACAGCCCAGGCATCACTCCAAGCCTTTTGAATCTCTTAATACCTATCGTCACATAATGTGATTTTAATAAAATTTAGAGTCACAGTATCCTAATCACCATCTAGTGCCTGTTTCTAATTTAAATATTCTAAAGCAACAAAAGTTTTACAATGAGTATTTCAAGATCTTATGTATAGTGGGACCTGTTAGTTTTAAAGGGAGCTGTAGTGGCCTAGTCGGTGGGGAGTTGCTGTTACCCCAAAGGCAGTGCCTATTTAGTAGCAATTTCACCACTGGCTCCTTGAGAGAAAGGTCCGCACTACCTCCTTGTGATTTACAGCCTTGGAAACTTGCTGGAGGGTTAGCTATTGAGTTGATGGCAATGAGGGGGTTTTTAACTAGCCAAAAATTTGAACAATTTTGGGGGAAAAAAATCCAAAACTTTGAACACACTTGGTTTTTTAGTGTCCCTGTACATATTTTCCTTAAAGAATTCCTTAACTCGCCCTATACTGTCAAGTGCCTAAGGACAGGCTCTAATTCTTAATCCTGCCTTGCACAGGACCCCGCATATAACAGGTACACAGTGTTTTCTAAATTAGTAAATATGTAGATGGCTGCTTTCCTAATAAACAAGGGAATATGAGGTTGAGGAGGAACAGGAAGATCTCGGAGTGTGCTAAGGAAACAAGACAGCACAATGAGTGAATTTATTAGTGAGAACATGTGCTGCAATCTCAAAGACAAGGTTTGAATCTACCAGCTGCTCCGCAGAAGGTGGCAAACTCCTCCCATGAGATTTACTGCCTCTGAAAAGTGGCTGGAGGGTCAGCTGTGGGTTGGTTCCAACTTGACACCACACAACAACAAATTATAATTTATTCATGAATTTATGCTTCGGTGTCTGGAAAATGCAAGGCACTTAATTATGTGCTAAATAAACGTGTACCTTGGGTTTGGGCCTCTATTTAAATAAACTACTTTTTAAAAGACATCTGATAGCCTCTGTTTACTTGTAAGTCGTTTTAAGCATAGCTCTGACATTGAGCAGACATCTCAAACCTTCCAACATCTCTGCAAGATAGGTCAAAGCAGGTCAGACTCTTTTCAAATGTGCAAGAGATGGGCCAAGAAAAGCAGACTGACTTGTCCAGTTAGTAAAAACGAGTCAAAACAGTTAGTGCTTTGATTACCTGATGACCAGTGTTACATTCTGTCTCTGAAAGGTGGCTTGACTGCTGTGGGAAGACTACAAAAGCAATGCAAAAGTAGAAGGTAACTTTATTTGGTGAAATTCAGTACCAATGAAATGAGAAAAAATCCACTGGCTTTTAGAAGAGTCATGACACTGTTCACAGAGAAAATTTCTAACACATCAAGGTTTCCTGTTAGGTCTCCTGAGGATCATAGAGAAGATCTTTTATATCTTCCTCATCCTCTTCTTACAGCGCTGGTTGAAGACTGGGGAGGACCCTATGAGGCTATCAGTAGAATGGGATCCATATCTGCTGTCTGAGTCATCAGGGCTCTGCGGGATCCCGGCTTCACTCATGCCCGACATCGGCTCTTCGAAAACATCGCTGCCCAGGACACCATGTCCAGAGACATTGCCTTCTTCACTTTCCTGAGGCTCCATTTTCACATGGGCCAAGTTCCAAAGAGGAGAAGCATTGACCTCTGTACCTAGAAAAGATTGAATAAAACAAAGACCTAGTGTTAAAACCAAGGGTAAAATGAAGTAGAACGAAAACACCACCCCACTGTACACAGATGCCATTTAAGTTCAGTTTTCACTCTGAAGCTGGTACTTGGCTGGAAAATACAGTTTAATCTGCTTTTTCATCATTACAAAGCTACCGACTCTGAATATCTATTTCTACTCCACAGGGTAATCATCTTCCAATCCCTTAATTCCCAGTTTACTGGAGTACTTTAGGAAGCCCAAGTAGTCAAACATTTTTGAGCAAATCACTGCCAATTACTAAGTACACACATCAGGGAAGCCAATGCAGATACTAAGGAAAGAAAGATCAACTAAATTAACCCTGCCAATTAACAGGATAGTAGATAATGCATCTCTATCTTTTTGTTGTTGTGTACAATTGAGTCAGAGCCAACCCACAGCTGACCCTCCAGCGAGTTTTCAAGGGCAGTAAATCACAAAGGAGAATGTCCATCTCTCTCCCATATAGCAGCTGATGGATCCAAACCACATGCCTTTACACTGGCATCTTAACTAGGCATTATTGTAATGCATGCTTGTAAATCTGTGCCTGTCCTTGTCAAACATCTACAGAGAGAGGCTCTTTCAGTCACTGAACCAGTCTTTGTTTCCATTCTCCTGTCAACCCTACTTTTTGTTTTGCTCCAAAGGCTTCATTCCAATCCAAAGTACTAAGATTAGCAGTTCTCTACTATCACAGTAAATTTATTTCTCTTACTTGATGCCTGTGGTGAAGCTTCAACCTCCAAGTTAGATGGTAAACGCTCGTTCTGAGCCCCGAGGACCCCCATCGGAAGGGCCTGGTCTCCAGAAGTCAGGTCTGCCTCCAGCTCTTCACTGACAGGGAAGGTGATGTCGCTCACAGGCTCCTCCTTGATCTTGACAGGTTTGGTGTCCTCTGTGGCCTTCTCAGGATTGACAATCCGCTCGTACTCTTCTGAAAGCTGCTTACTTATCTGTTGGCAAGCAGGAGTTATTTTCTAAGAAATATTAAAAGCAAGTTGTGTAGGTGGCTAGTGGCAGTCCATAAAAAAGCTACCAGAATAAGAAATGAAAGGAACTTACTTAGTGTTGAGTTTAAGTGACAAAGAAATGTAAAGAAAGTTTGACAGAAGCAGCTTGTATGTAAAGTACAAATAAAGTCAGGCTGATTAAAGATAAATCAGAAAAGATTTCCTGGGGAGCTCTGGTGGTCTAGTGGCAAGAAGCTGCACTGCAATCCCAGAGGAACACGGTTCGAATCCACCAGATGCTGTGCCGGAGGAGGCGCAATATCCTCCTGTACCAGTCAGATCTGATTTGATGGTACACGCACACAAAATTAAAAAAAGAAAAGAAAAGATTTCCTTTTGGCTAAGTATATAATGAAGGCAAACCTGGTTGTATAAGCAGATTTTTCTTATTTGTTAAAAACTCCTAACGGTAGTTTACATTTGGGGAAATAAACTGTGAACAAATGACATGCTTAAAGCCACAAGTCTCTTGAATATATTAGAGAGATTTTGGCTCTAACCTTGGTGCCTCTCCTGCCCTTTGGGCAACAGGACCTCTTGGTGTTGTCTGGGGTTTTTTTTTTTTATCCTGGCACTTCATCTACAATTATTGTGATCATCTCGTTACTTGTTTTTCTTTCAACAAAAATTCAAGCCCTAGGAATTTGTTAACTGCTGCAACTCACCTTGCTAGATTCGACAGACATTCAAATTCTTCAATAAAAACATGATAATCACATTTTCTTAGACTCTATGTAACTAATTTCTTACATAGGAAGTATTAGCAACCAATGAAATCATTCACTGACTCAAAGAGGCTCTTGGTCTAGGAAGTCAGTGATGAGGCTCAATGGGGTAGAGCCAGTGCTTTCAGAAAACCAGGATAAGGTTTGACATCATGGGTTCTACATTCTACAGCAAGTAGTCTGGGAATCTGCCTAATGGGACCTTCTGCCTATTCCTCCACATGGTTGTCTCACCTGCAGCATGTAACTGTGATAGTCCTTGATGCGGTGTTGCCAGAACTTCTGGAGGGAAAGTACACTGCCAATGCCCACTTCATGGAACACTTGCT